TGGGTGATGGGTATTGAGGAGGGCACTTTTGGGAGGAGCACTGGGTGTTGTATGGAAACCAATTTGACAATAAATTTCATATATTGAAAAAAAATATTCATTATTTTTATTACTTTATTTGTTCAATACTTTAGGCATATGCTTTTTAAGCTCAAACTAGTTATGGAAAGAATGGAAACATATTTAACTCATAAAACCAATCTTGGAATTTTCAGAAGTTTGAATTGTGAGAAATGTAATCTTGGTCTTAGATAAACCAAAATATTTTACTAGCTTTTTTTTATGATGGTAAATTAGTAAAGACTGAATCATACTGAAGTTTTTCTTTTATTTTGAAAATTATGCCTTTTGTTATTATCTTATAGGCAATTATAAAAGCTATTAGGTAAATATACTTAAAAAAAAAAAAAAACAGATTACTGGTTTATTATAAAAGGGTAGAACTCAGGAAGTGCCAGATGGAATAGAGGCGTGGGGCAGGGTGTGAAGAAAGGGTGCAACCCTTTCCAGCACCTTCACGTATTCATCAACCCGAAGCTCCTAAATAAACTTTCTAAAGTCCATAAAAAGAAACACAGTTTAATAATGTTTCTCTTTTTTCTTATGTAGACAATTTTGGCTTTATCTGAACTAAACATTCCTGAAGAATTTGTAAAACAAATGAATGTGTTTTGGATGAATAAAGGAAATCTGTCATGTTTCCAAGAAAGGGGAGAATGGAAAGGGAAGTGAGGTAGAAAACATAAGAAGGAACTGGTTTTAGACAACTAATCATTTTTCTCTGTAAGCAGAGGAGATAGCTGAGGCATGCACACACACCAAAGAGAGTGTTGTATATTAGATCTTGACATTGACATCACTTGGGTCCTTGACGGTTCTGTTGAGTCACAAGATTTTTAATACCAGCACTTATTAAAAATTTTTTTTAACATTTACTTATTTTTGAGAGAGAGAGAGTGAGGTAGGGGCAGAGAGAATGGGAGAATCAGAAGCAGGCTGCAGGTTCTGAGCTGTCAGCACAGAGCCCGACACAGGGCTCCAGCTCAGGAACCACAAGATCATGATCTGAGCCGAAGTCAGCTGCTTAACCGACTGAGCCACTCAGGCACCCCAACACCAGCACTTATTAATTCACAATGTATGGAAAGCAAGGAAGGATGCCTCCTGCATGAAACAATTTCATGAGACTTCTTTCTTTTTTTGGTATCTACCTCCTTAAAATATATAGCGAAACACTGACATTTATGCAATCAAGTGATTTACCAGTCAACAATAAAAACAAAAATTTTTTTTTTAAGTTTAGTTATTTTGAGAGAGACTGTGAGCTTGAGCTGGGGAGGGGTAGAGAGACGGAGAGAGAACGAATCCCAAGCAGGCTCCACATTGTTAGCATGGATCCTGATGGGGGTTTGAACTCATGAACTGTGAGATCATGACCTGATCCAAAATCAAAAGTCATATGCTTAATCCTACTGAGCCACCCAGGCGCCCCTCAGCCAACATATCTATGCTAACATATCTCAGCTAACGTATCTATGATTTCTGACTGTAAGCCTTTAACAGACTGGAGAAAAAGCACGGGACATGTCAATACCAGAAGCTAATCCTAAAGGTGCTGATGAGGGAGAAAATTCTCATATATTAGTTTTAGCTACAAAATATTTTAGGAAGGCAATTTTTGAGTTTGAATTGTGTTTAGAATCCTTCTTATACCAATTAAAGAAAGTAGATTATTGGACAGTCAGAATTTTGTTTTCATTTTTTAGAGTAAGTCACCTCTCAAATGAATAGTTGTGTCCATATTAAAATTTCTCAAAAGAGGCCATTTTAATTCCAAATTATTTTTGATGAGATTGAGCCAGTTAGGGAGATATGCATTAGCATTCTAGTGAGAAAACATACAGAAAGCAGGTATCTGGTCTGGAAGAGGCAGAGTTTTAGATGGAGAAGATCCCAGAGAATTGGGGGTATGTCCATAGGTTGGTGCTCATGTAAATTTTTGGCCCTGAGTTTGTCAAAGGCCATACATCACCACACTTTTCTGACTGCATGGAAGGCAAAGCCCTCAGAGTACATTCTCAAGAGCTGCATGTCCTGGTGGGAACAGGGGAAACCTTGAGCCCAGGGATGCACACAGCAAGCGTGTGCCTGTCAGCGATGGGCCTGTCAGCGTGGGCCTCCGGTAAGGCCTGTTCCTGGTCCCGGAAGGATTTCTGGAGCACCTCGGAAAGCATCTGTCTTCCTGACAGAATCCTGTCACTGGCTGTCTACTCCTAGCCCAGGGGCTGATGGTTCCTTTTGACCCTGGCTGTGTAGAGACAGCCCTCTGTCCCCACTATGGCCAACTAAAGATGCATCTGTGTTGCCTCAATTTCCTCCTTTGTAGCTATGTCTAAGAGTCTGTTTGGACAGGGGAAGAAACCTCTAGATACGTTTTTCTGGGTAAATGAGATGACTGGAGAAATCACCTATCCCCCATGAAGACAGATGTACTTGAAGCTTCTCCAGCTTCTCTGGAGAACCCCCAAGATAGGCCCAGATCTCAGCATGGGAGCGTGCAGGGGCTCCTTCCAGTGACCAGGGTCTGTCCAACACACCTGCACAGAAGGCTGTCCTTTCACCTCCTTCTAAGACTTCGCTGAAAGACACTGGCTCAAGAAATTCCCTCCCATCTGCACCAACCTATGGCCTGGCTAAGGCTGGATCAAGGAGCACCCTCCCCTTCTCCCCACCCCCCACACCCAGCCAATCTCAGCAATTCCTGTCACCATCTCACCACCAGGAGGCGCTCCACCAACATGAGGAGCCCTTGGACCAGCAGCCTGCCCCCAGTGTCTTCCTTTCTTCCCAGCCCTTCTGTCCCCTGGGCCTTCACCTGCAAGCTGAAAAATGTCCTTAACTGGGAATAACCGATTTTCCTTTTGAACTTGAGAGTATTTGCATGGTCACGCCTTCCTGAGCTGCCCATGGCCAGAGTGGCCTGTGACCTCTACACCTTCGTGCTCCCCTCTGCCTCCCCTGCAAGCACACAGGACTGTGGGCAGAGTTCTTAGAAGAACAAACCAAGTGCTTTCAAACCTCATTTCAATTTAGATTTTGACACATAGCATTTTCTAGATCTTCTTTTACCTCCCAAACCACCTTGGTATTTTGCTCCTAAGTTTTTTGGGTTCAAGAATTTGGTTCTGATGTTGGTGTCAGAGCAGTACTTTGGTTCCCAGCCAGAGTCAGAAGGATGCTTCTTTGGTGGAGATGGGAACAAGCTAGGATGAGTGTGACCCAAAGGCCCTGTGTCCCTGGGCACAGCCCGGGGCCACCTGGACTTGGGGATGGCCCTCAGGGCTGCCCTGGACCTTGAGCACAAAGGGGCTGGGGCCCTGACAGGAGCTTCAAGGCAATCTGAGGCTGAGACAGACTTTGGGCAGGGTGCCCCTTCCAGCTATGTGCCTTCCCTAGTGGACAGGCTCCCTGATGATGCTTTGGTGGGACAGTGGACAGCTGCTCGGCCCTCCAGAAACGGATGACCACTTTCCTACTGATCCGGTCATGCTGGAGTGGGAGGCAGAAGCAGGGGCTCGGAAACACTGTCTCAGCCTGAGGACTCCAGGAAACTCCAGTTCTCGGGCCTGTGGAGCAAAGGCCTGAGGTCCCGCCTGCCTTGATTCTGTGGCCAGTGTGTCCTGTGACCCAGTCAGAATCCTGCCTCCCGTGGCCTCAGTGCAATGTAGGGGTGAGCGAGCCCGTTCTGCACAACACGCCCGTAGCATGTCAGCCCTGCTGCCTGCTGGCCCGTCCGCACCACGGTGCCAGGCCTGACACCTCGCCATCCAAGGTCTCTGTTTCTGTATCCCCCCTGCCCACCTGCAAGGGCACATCTGATCCTGACTTGTGGGTTGCCTACGTGCAGTACTAGCTCAGCAGTGGGCACACACACGGCCGGGGGCGCTTCTGCCCGCTCAGACCCCTCACAGCCCCTGGGACACCTGGGCTCTAACCCCACCTCTCTTGTCTGCCTCAGGCAGAAAGGCCTTGGGCAAGTCTCCAATTTGGGGTGTCAGTTTCCTCATATGAAACATTCATCAGCTTAGGGGGAAAAATTGCTATAATGCTCCATAATAGGTATGTCCCCTGAGGGAAGGGTTTTGAGGGACCAGCAGCCTGAACTTGCAGGAAGCAGGGGAATGCAGGGAAGGAGAGGGTCCCGTGGCACTGACTCAGGTCTGATCTGTCTGGACACTGGCTGCCCCGCATCCTCTTCCTCCTCGTCCTTAGGAGTGAGGGGAACCTAGGCTGGCGGCCAAGACCACCCAACGGAGGGCTCTGCATTCCTGGGGCAGACTCACTGAGGGCGGGAGAAACTTCAAGAACACAACCTGGTGTCTCCTCTTAGAGATGGGGAGACTGAGGCCAGATGAGGCCTTGCCCAGAGCCACTCTGTGCAGGGAGCCACTGGGAGCCCTACAAAGGTGCCCTGGGGATTGTGTCAATAATTACAGAACAGGCACCTGTGGTGACCCTGCCAGGTCACAGGGCTCGTGGTTGGGATCGGTGCCAGGTGGCACACGTAACAGGCAGTCTGGAAACAAGGGGGCACTTTGTGGGCAGCTAGCTGCCAGGCCTCACCCAGTGCATCAGTGGTTCCTGCACCCTGGGTCTGGGTGCCAGCCTCCCAGGAGCTTAGGCTCCCAGCTCTGGGGCCTGTGGTGGAAGGCTGCCAGGACCACAGCCCCCTGTAGAAGAGCCCAGAGCCTTGGAGCTACCAACCTCCACAGGACATGGTCTAACTGGCTCACTCTGGGGAAGCACAGACAGGTCCCTCGAGGGAAGTTGGGGTGGGGTGGTGATACTGGATTAGTATAGGGGAGGTAGGAACTCTAGGGTGCTGGGACAGTAGCCTGAGCTGGAGGGGTTCACTTCAGGGGCCTCTGCCTGGGATGTGCAGAGTCCTTGGAGGTTTCAAAGGTGAGCTGACTCCAGATGCAGCCCTGGTCCCTCTTACTTCACCGATCCATTTCTCAATGCCCACCACTCCCTCATGAGCTCAGGGGGGCTGCCTGGAGGCAGAGGTCTTTAAGAAATGAAGGAGGAAGTAGGGCTTGGGGAGATCTGTCCTGAAGACAGATGTGGCTTCCGACGTAAGCCAGGCCATCAGTTTCTTGTAATTTCTTATTATGTTCTAGGAGTTGTGAAACTATTAATAACTGAATAAGGAAAACAATAATCTGATTAATGTATTATTTATTATATTATTGTTAACAATCAGTTCTGAGACAAAGTCCAATTCAAAACATATTACTGAGGATTCTATATTAGTTGATTTTAGAAATGGCATGATCCAAAGCTACTTTTCAATAAATTTTCTTACATAACCTTTAAGGAAGGAATTGTTCACCCCCATCATTTGGCTCTGGAAAATCCTTATAGGCAACATTTTTACATTAGAAAAACAAATTCAGTATACTTGTTACTGAAGGTTCACAGGGATGATATGCACAAACTATAAAAATTACACATCACTATTTCTTTTGAACACACATTTGAATTTAAACAGTTTAAACAATCGGTGTTTTAGATGAATTTGAAACATACTTCAAGAATGGTTAACAGCTCCTTCCCTTTCTGATGCACTGTGAAAAAAACTTCCTTTCTTATTTCTTCAGCCAGCAGTAGGAGCCACGAAAATGGTGTCCCAAATTAGATTCACTTTATCCTCCTGAGAAACAAGCTGGAGAGGTTTTGGATCTGGCGAAATACATTATCCGAAGGGAAAGGACTGCAGAGAGAGAAGCCCCGCGTCTCCAGAGGGGGCCGCCATGGCCCTTAGGTCTGGGCCATGCTGCGACCTCAGGGAGGCCACACAACCTCGCACACGGGCGGCTCAGAGGGACTTCATGCCGGATGCGAAACACTGGTAGGAACAGGAAGCCCGGGGTTGAGGAGGTGACAAATCCTGGATGGCCTGAACCATTTTACACTTGATTCTACTTGCTGGAACTCTGTGGGACACCAGCAAGGGTTTTTCCAGATAGTTTGTCCATGAGAAACCAGAGTCCCCTCACTGATTCAAAGACATTCACTGTCTGTTGTGTCATGCTACCAACAGTTGTGATAGATTAATGGGTAGGAAAACCCACGGGTTTAAACCCAAGTTTTCTGTCACTAAGATGTTTCCAACGAACTGGTATCAGACTGCTTATGTCCATGTCAATACCATACATACATCCAGTTGCTTTTTTTCCTTCTACTCTTTCTTTCAGGAAAAATTCGGTTATCTAATTTTTGCCATCCGTCGGGCTTCTGTTTTGGACAGCAACTGTCCCGTACTGGCTGCAAAATACGCATTTGTATTGACCCATGAGATGTAACTACAAAGTTGCATGTTGAATGAGTTCCATTGCTCCGGAGTTACGCTGAATGAGACCTGATTACACTTACGCATGCTCACTCATATAAAAATATATATCCTCAACTTCGTAGAACCCCTCATTTATATACCGCAAAATATGTTCCTTGATGCTGACATCTTTTTACCCAATCTTGCCAATCAGCTAAGAAACGCCATAAGACTGGGAGATAAAACCTTTTAAAGCAAGTTTTGTAGCAGACATTAATTTTTAAAAAAGGTCTACTTTTAGAGCAGCAGTTAGAAATTTTGTCCTTGTAATATGTAAATAATACTGTTATATTAAATTGTGGATTTAAATAAGTTTAACGGTTTCTTGTCTCTTCAAAAAATAATACCGATTTCTGTGTTACTTAACGGCTTCTCCATCCTTCCAGTTCCAAGGAATACAAACGTCTCCATCTTGCATGACAGAATAAAAATGTGAAATGCAGAGATGCATCCCTCGTAGGTAAGGCAGCGACTGTTCTAGAAGTCTCTTACAACAATCCACCATTTGTATACTAGAAACGCTGGGCTCCTTATAAAACTTTCCCAGAGAAAATTTCTTCGTTGAAGCCTCTATCAATTCATTTTCAATAACCTTTAACCTGTCATATTGAAAATAAACGTAATATTGCCACAAGCTATCACCAAATAAAATAACATAAAATGTAGATACAATTTCATATTGTATTATATATTGGGGCTCTAATATTATATATTGGGGCTCTAACTTTCCACTCTCAACATTGAAAATGGTGTTGCCCGCAAGGGGCGAATTACATGCTCAGAACACATGCCAATCGTTGTCGTGCATGTATCTCTAAAAGTATTTGTTAAATCTTTTTTAGCAGCAATGGGTAAAAATAATTAATACATAGTTTAAAAAGTTCTAATCCTGCCTCACTGAGCAGCTGTTAGTGACCAAAGAAGGCAGAAAGCAGAGTGTAAAAGCCATAGTTTTAGGAACCACCTGCTCTCTGACCCTTGGGCAGTAATGACTTCTGGAAATTCCCAAATACCCAAGCTGGCCCCCTGAGGAGGAAGGGCTCACTCCACTCACTTCCAAACCCATCAACTCCCTTTCTGCTCCCTCCCCTTCGCCTGCAAGCAACAATGCCTCTTCCATCAAGGGCTTGCGTAAAGGCCTGCAAAGTAGACAACTCCCGGCAGAACTTGGTGTCTTAAGTACATTATCCCACAGGTGGTCAATGTTTACAGATATGTTTTAATGTTTATTTACTTATTTGAGAGAGAGAGAGAGAGAGAGAGAGAGAAAGAGAGAAAGCATGAGTCAGGGAGGAGCAGAGAGAAAGGGAGATACAGAATCTGAAGCAGGCTCCAAGCTCCAAGCTCCAAGCTGTCAGCACATGACCCCATGCAGGGTTCAAACCCATGAACTGTGAGATCACGACCTGAGCCGAAGTCAGACACTTAACCGACTGAGCCACCCAGGCGCCCCAGTGAACATTCTTTTAAATGGTTGTTTCTTCTATATGTCAGTATCGAAATTATTTAAACATTCTTCTATTATTGTACATTTCCATGGTTTCCAGTTTGTCTAAGTGACATTAAAATTTATAGTATGTGATATAGGGTAGGAGGAAACGTGAGTGAACTTCCACAGAAACACTGAGTGAGGACAGTCTGTCTGGGGACAGCTGGCTTACCGCTAGGCCCAGGTTACCCTGGGTCACGACCGCCCTATGTAAGAGCTGTGCACAGGTTATTCCCAGCCTCCAAACACAGCAGGGGTTCCACAGACAGTGCCTGCACTCTCCCTGGCAGCCAGGAGGTGCAGCCAGGCGGTGTTACGAGGCAGTCTTGAGAAGGCCACGTGGAGTCTACTTGGGACCCAGGTACTAGCTTATTAGCATAGTGGTTTTAAACCGCTGGCAGGCTCCTGCAGAGCTATTCCGAGGTTCCCTGTGGGGACGGGGGCCCCTAGTTCCCTTCCTCTTCAGACAGAAAACCGGCGAGTTTTTACCTTTTTTATAATTTGAATTTCCACTCAGAAATCCACTTTATAGAGATATGCAGCTAAAAGGTGAAAACCACGGTCTAGGAGCACACTTCGTCTGAGGGAAGCCAGTAGTCTTAACCACCCCCTGGTGATTACAAGGAGGGCAACCTTGATAGGGTGGGGAAAAAGAGCAAAGGAGAAGAGAAGGCAGAGTGGAGGGGACCTCTGGGCCCAGAGTCAGAGGTCCGCAGAAGGATGAAAGCAATGATTATGAGGGGAGGTATACTGGGACCAGCAACAAAGTGGCTTCCTCTCCACGGGTGGTGAAGCAGGGACGAAGGCTCCAGGGCCAGGGCCAGAGCAAGGCTCAGGCAACATGCAAGTTAATGGATTCAGTCCGTTATCTTCCCGAAGGCCTCCTGTGTGCCAGGTGCTGATGCTGGCACTGGAGGGAATAAGAGGCAAAAGTCCCTGCCCTTGTGGTACTCACATTCTGTCTGGGTGGGCACAGGCACTGAATAAATAAGGAAAAGAGCTTGTCAGAGGCCGATGGTGGTGAGTTCGAGGGAGCAAGGCAGACCAGGGCATGTGGAGGGGCTGCTGCAGGGGAGGGGGCCGGTTCCGCTAACCGCCAGGGAAAACCTCACCCAGAAAGAAGGTAGATGCGAGCTGAGACCCAGAGGGAGGTGAAGGGCAAACCGGGAGGACACTGGGAAGAGGCGCTCCAGGCAGATGCCAGGGGAGAACAGAAGGGCCACGCGGCTGGGGCAAAGTGAGCGAGGGATGAGTGGAGGGGGTCCTGGCCTGCAGGCCACTGACGAGCCCCGACTGGGCTTCTCTCAGAGTAACTCACTCTGGCTGCTCTGATGAGCCACTGTATTGACCCGACTCACTGGTAGGATGGAACTTCCAAAAGCTAACCCATGTGAACCGCATTTCTTTTTATCTGACTTCCTCAAAATCTAGTAGCAATACACTGAGCCTATTAAGTGGCCGTTGAGAAGACAGAAGCAGCAGCGACAGTGTAGCCAACAAAATTGTCAGCCCTGACGACGACAGGCTGGCCAGGGCTGCTCCCGAGGGTTCGAGCTGACTCACAACTGAGAAAATCACATCACAAACATGGAGGCTGAGCACCCAGTCAGGAAGTAGGGTGTTTGTGCCATCGGATCCCGCCAGCGCAGCTGTCACCAAACCCACAAGCCAAACAAAGACGCAGCTCCTTCACTTAGTTTTTATATGCAAACGACCCCGTTATTTCTTGTCAGAGGGATGACTTCCGTGGCCCTCCTCCACTGCCACCCTCGATCTCTTCTGAATGAGCAACTGGTAGGCACGGAGGGGTGAGCGGGTGGCAGGACAGGAAAACCTGGAACCAATGCCCCAACGGTCCACGGCTCAACGGTCACCTCTACCTTCTCGGTGCCAGTCTCTGTCCTCCTTGCTGCCTCCCCGGACACGTGCAGCCACCTTCTCTGGGCCTCCGTGGCCTTCGGGGAGCAGTAGCCCTGGTGCTTCTCACTCAGCCCCACCCTGGCCCAGCTACCCAGCGCTCGCACCTCCCACCAGAAACACATTCCAGGACGGCAGGGACCCGGCCTCCATCTTTCTATCGATGGCACCTTTCAGTCATGGCAAATGACAGCTGAATGAATGAATGAATGAATGACTTCTCAGTATCCAAACCTCCTTTGCCAACATCTTTAGAAAAACAACCCTGTTTTGAGTGTAATATCCTTTCTTCATAGTAGAAACATTATTAAGCAGTATCCACTGGCCACAAAACAGGAAACTGTTGGCTAAGATTCCTTCAAAGATACAAACGACACAGATACAGGACTGCTTATGAACTGCAACAATTTTTTACTTCTAATCTCTTCTCCTTTACTTAAATTCAGATGAAGCTTGCTTTGCACCAGTAGGTCTCAAAGTTTTAAACAGAAAACATGCCTGTCATCTTTCTTTCTGATACTCTTATCTTCGTTCTGCTCTTGAGTTGACTTTTATAGTAACAAGTCTTGATCCTCAAATTGAGGCACATGGTGGTAATGTAATTTAGACTCTTATATCAGGAAACACCATATGCAATTCTTGGCAGAATAAGGTGGGGGGTAAGTAAACATGGACTATGCACCAAGGAATCAATTTTCTAAGTGTAATACAGTTTTTATGTCCCATATTTATGAATTCTGAATATTCAAATTTTTATTTATTTATTATTATTATTTTTTAATGTTTATGGTTGAGTGAGAGAGAGCACGAGCAGGGAAGGGACACAGAGAGAGAGAGAGAGAGGATCCAAAGCAGGCCCTGTGCTGACAACAGAGAACCCAACACAGGGCTCGAACTCATGGACTGTGAGATCATGACCTCAGTCAAAGTCAGACGCCTAACGACTGAGCCACCCAGGCGCCCCTGAATGTTTAATAGACTGACTGGTAGGAAGTTACAGAGGGTTCATAGCACTCACTCTTCTTTCCTCTTCATGTTGTCTCTTGCCTGTTGGGCTTTGGTTAGAATAAACCACTGGAGCTTTGTTGGATCACAGAGGCTTGGGATGTTAAAGTGCCCGAGTTCATGCAAGCTTGGAGCATATCTGTCACTGTAATGAAATATACATAAAAGGAAAAGTCACTGATCTCTCATCCCCCACTCTGCCCCCAAAGAAAACATGTTATTAGTCTGATTAGTGATAAGGGAATTTTTCAAGAAAATCCATTTTAAAAGTATAGCAAAATTACATTTTAACTTTTGCTGTCCCCAAAGAGACACTTTCAGGATAACCGCATTCTTCCTCACTGTATGGCCACCCTCACCTGTAAATGGAGGCAGTAGCCCACTAGACGGTGAGGTGTGCTTTTAAACAGCAAGCACAGGCTGTGAAAACAATGTGTGCACAACAAACACAGGCTGATTCAAATTAGTCTAATGCTATAAAGTTTTCCACAGGATTGACTTTGCCTTGAAGTGGCAATGTATTTCAAAAATGTTCTAGAGGTTCAATCCTTCAATCCTCTCATGTTGGCTTTTTTAATGTGTAAAAAGCGCTGCTAACAGGAGTGACATTCTTTTCTTTAGTTCCTAAGAATCACAAAGTGAAACACAAAACAATTTAATCTACCTACACACACATCTAAGTGAAAGAATAAAAATAATTCTTATTTTAGATATTTACCTGTTAAGGATCATTTTTAAACCACGTAGACTTCGAGGGTGAAAGGGTATTCTATTTTTCAACAGCCGATTATAGAACACATCAAGAAGAGAGTAATACTCTTCAAGTGTCAATACTGGCTGCAACTCTTCGATATAAACCACTTGTATGCCACCTAGAAGATAGCTTATTTGGTCTTCTAACAGCATCAGCCTCCTCCGAAGGTCAAAATAACTTGGTAATCTTTCAAAAAGCTACAGTATTTTAAAAAATGAAAGAAATACTTAGTTTAATAACATAAAACTAAGTAAACATAAAACATAAAACAATGTTAGGATTCCAATTAGTGGTATTGAGAAATTTTAACAACAAAATTGTTTTTCTAGAAGGAAAGCTCAAATAAGTACTATGACTTAATGTAGGGCTGGAAATATTAATATTCAAAACAACCCACTGTAAATCTTAGGAATTTTTAGATAGGACTGAAGAGATTGCAGAAAAAAAAAGAAATACGTTCCAAATAAAAATAAGTCCTAAGTACTAACATTTAAATAATCAGGTAAGTGGGGCACCCAGGTGGCTCAGTTGGTTAAGTGTCCGACTTTGACTCAGGTCATGATCTTGCCGCTCCAGACGCGAGTTCGAGCCCCACGTCGAGCTCTGTGCTGACAGCTAAGAGCCTGGAGCCTGCTTTCCGATTCTGTCTGTCTGTCTGTCTGTCTGTCTCTCTCTCTCTCTCTCTGCCCCTCCCCGACTCGTGCTCTGTATGCCTCTCGCAAAAACAAACAAACATTTAAAAAAAATTAAAAAAAAAATCAGGTAAGAATCTCAAATTAGTTTAGAATGATTATATGGTCTAATAAAGAAGGGTCTGGGAAATAAAGTACATGTAGTTCCCTCCAAGTATATTTCTTGAGATTTACTTTTAATTACAACAAAACTCAATTACATGCAATAAATATCACTGAGCACCTACCATGTACTTAAGCACTAAACTGTGTGTACAGATTATAAAAGGTGGGCCCTGCTTTTCAGCTGGGGTGCAAGGAAACAAAACAAGAACCAGGATTCTTTGTACTAAGTGCCATGTAAACGTGAGTGGACACAGGGGAGAGGTTCAAGCAAAGGTTTCTAAGGAAGTCTAATGTGACCAGTCTGAAAACCTGAGAAGACAACCAGGATTTAGCAAGAGTTAGATACGTGTGGAAGTGTTTTGGGGGTAGAAAGAAGAACATGTGTAAAGATGGAAGCATGGCAAGGGCAGCACATCCCAAATTCTGGAGTCTGGTGTGGCTGGAGTGTGGCACGCGTGTGGAAAGGAAAAGGCTGAAGACGCGGGAGCGGCTGGACTGGGGAAGGCCCTGGGATGCTGCACTGAGGACTCAGACTTGACGTAAAGAGCTGGGGATGTACAACTCGCAGAGGAGTCGAAAGGCATCAACAACTCTGCGATGATAAAAGCAATAGCGGTACACAAGTTATTTGTAATGTATTTCCAACACTTTGTGAAAATAATTTCCCTACCCACTTTTTCCATTTTTTTCCTCTTAATGAGTTATCCATGTATGAATGGTAGCTACCTTTAAAAAACTTTTTATTTTCACAGAACATCTTTCATACAGTTTCCCCAACGGTAACATCTAACAAAACTACAGTATACTATCACAACTGAGAAACTGACATTGAAAACAATCCACTGACCTTCTTCAGACTTTATCAGTTTTACTTACACTCGGGTGTGGGTATGGGGGGCGGGGTGGTGTATGTGTGTATATGTAACTGTATCCCATGTGTAGACTGACGTGCCATGACCACAGTCAAGATACAGAACAGTTCCACTCTATGGATCCTGCATGCCTACCCATGCACTAGCCATGGACCACGGCGGGGAGAGTCCCTCACTCTCCAACCCCTGGGAACCACTAATCTGTTCTTTCTACGATTTTATTTTAAGACCATTATGTACATGGAATCACACAGTATGTAGTCTTTTGATACTGACTTTTTTCACTCAGCACAATGTCCTTTTGTGCCAATCCACCCAAGTTGTGGCTGGTATCAGTAGTTCATTCCTTCTTTTTGTTGGGTAATATTCTGTTGTACGCATGTGTCACAATTTAAACATTCACACACTGAAGGACATTAGAGTTTTTCTAGTTGTTGGCTATTATGAACATTTATGTACAGGTTTTATGGGAACATAATTTTTCACTTCTCTAGTACAAATGCCCAAGGGTGCAACTGCTGGGTCATATGGTCACACTTGTTTAGTTGTGTACCATCACACTCTTTCCCAGACTGTCTGTAGCACTCTATACCCCCACCAGTGACCAGTGCCAGAATTTGGTGGTATCATTACTTTTCATCTTAGCCATTCAAAAAAAATTGCCATCTGTAGGTCACCTTCTGTGACAAACCTGTTCATGTCTTTTATTTTTGTTTTTGGATTGTTTGAGGTTTTTTTTTGACTGTTGAGTTTCAGAGTTCTTTATACATTAGGTACACAGACTTTGTCAGAGACGTGGTTTGCAAATATTTTCTACCAAATATTTGAATAGCCACTTCACAAAAGCAAGTACGCAGATGGCAAATAAGCACATGAAAAGATGCTCAACATGATGGGTCATTAGGGAAACACAAATGAAACCCACATGAGATAGAACCATACTCGTGGTAGAACGGCTAAAACTAAAGACAACCATTGCAAATTTTAGCAGTTTCTTAAAAGGTAAAATGCCCTAACATGTGATCCAACTATTCACGGACAAATGTTCCTAGCAGCTTTATTTCCAACAGCCCAAACTAACACAGCTCAATGTCCATCAGTAGGTAAATGGATAAACAGACTGGGGTAGATTTAGATGATCAGATACTAACTACATGGCAATAAAAAGGAATAAATTCTTGATACATGCAACAGCATGGATGAATCTGAAAAAAATTATGTTGACTGAAAGAAAACAGAACCTGCCCCCCCTGCCAAAAAAGAGAAGTATATACTTTGTGATTCCACTTATAGAAAACTCTAGTAATATAAACTGATCTACAGTGACAGCATGCCAGAGGTTGTTTGTGGAGAGGGTGGTGGGATGGAGGAGAGGGCTTACAAGTGGACACGAGCACACTTTTGTGGGTGATGGATACGTTCACTATCTTGTTGTGGTAATGGCTATTTATACAGGTTAAATCTCATCAAATTATATACCATCTGTGCAATTTATTGTATGTCAATTATAGCGCAGTAAATCTGTTAACACCAAAACAATAGAAAGCAAGCCTTTTAGGCGGTGCCTCAGAAAGACTACAAAATTTCCAAATAAAAACTGACTTAAAAATCAGGTCCCTAAGTATTTTAACTACATGATAGTAAACACCTAATCTGAAAACAGCCGAAACTATGATTCAAGTTGTTTTTTAGTTCATTGACGTAACAACATAGTTTGAGACAAGCGTATGTCTATGACAAATCAGAGATTCTTTTGTTTTTAAACTCTTCCTTACTTTTGTCCAGTGATGATGGACATCCATTGTTCCTAGCATCACATGGCCCACCGCACTCATCCCGGAGCGGTCTGTAAATATTATTGTACATCCTGATGATAAAAACACAAACCCTTTGGTCACTGTCCAGAGATGCTTCATTCACCACTGTGCAAATAATTACTTAAACTTAGCATACAAATTCAGGATTAAATTAGGTAGAAGCTTAAAGGCTAATTTTATGTTGCTGTTTTATTCAAAGGAACACATTTAAAAATTCAGCTGTGATATGGTCACATCTGTAAGGATTTTTAACACTTAGTTTTCCTCCACAAGTTACAGATGTGTATAGCAGCTGTGTGATATTTGAAAAGAAAATGGAAATTGTTTACCTTTTGCATTTTTAAGTGTTTCCAAGTTCTGCTGTGCTAGGCGGCCTAAACTGTGAAGCTGGCTACAGCGATGGGCGATGCCCCAGCCCCTCTGCCACCTAGGACACCAGAGCACAAAGGCACGTTAGCAGCAGGCATCCCTGAGGGAAGAGCCGTGCATTCACCCCAGCTGCTTAATTCCTGTGAAAGACAGAGAATTAATTCCTGCGAATGCTTTTTTCAAGTAGTCGTGTTTTCCAACTAGCTCATTATTTTATGAAACAACCAAATGGAAAATGAATGGTTGGCCAGAGGGTAAAAATATTACTACTATGTTCAGGTACCCAAAGATTTAAAACAAGCAAATATAGGGGCATCTGAGTAGCTCAGTTGGTTGAATGTCTGACTCTTGATTTTGGCTCAGGTCACAGTCCCAGGGTCATGGGATAGAGCTCCAAGTCTAGGTCTACACTGAGTGTGGAGCCTACTTAAGATTCTCTCTCTCTGCCCCTCCCCATTCACCCTCTCTCTCTAAAATCAAATAAAACAAACAAACAAACAAACAAATAAAGCAAGCAAATACACTATGCTGTTTCTATTTTAAAATAAGGGAATGAGGGGCCCCTGGGTGGCTCAGTTGGTTAAGCATCGGACTTTTGATTTCAGCACAGGTCATGGGTCATTCTTGCTCTCAAAATAAAGTTAAAAAAAGGAAAAAAAAAGAAAAAGAAGAGAATGAAATAGGAAACACTTAAAAAAATCTTTTCCATCTCCACATCACTCAAAGATGATGATTTTGTTTTAGATTTAAGTTTTTTTTTTTTTTTTTTTTAATTTATTTATTTGAGAGAGAGAGAGCAAGAGAGCAGATGGGAGAGATGGAGAGACAGAATCCTAGGCAGGCTCCTTACAGTCAGTGCAGAGCACCATGTGGGGCTCGAACTCATGCTCCATGATATCATGACCTAAGCCAAATTCGGACACTTAACTGACTGAGCCACCTGGGGGCCTCTGGATTTAAGTTCTAATTAGGAATTCCAGTTAGGTTTATCAGATTCTTTTTATCTTATTCTGGACTAAGTGATTTTTATGACATGTGATCTACTTATTTTATAAATGAACACTAAATCTTAGTGACAAGATGGAACCTGATGTTCACATGATGTTACAGAGGCACTGGTGTGCAAATGTAATATGTAAATATATTATTATTATATAATAATATATATTATATGGCACTGATCTTTAGCAGTGTCTGAACACCCACCCACCTGTGAATTCTAATTCTGTGGCTTACTAGCTCTGTGACCTTGAACAAGTTGCTTCTGTCCTTACTAAGCTTTCCTTTCCATACATGCAAAGTGGGATCGCCTCCTCCAGCACAGCATAAATCATGGGGAGAATATATGTGAAGGAGTAAGACTGTCAAAACACGTGCTCAAAAAACTTAGGTTCCTTCTTCACCCTATCACTGATTCTGATGAAAGTCATTTCTGTTAAGATTAAACCAATTTTCAAAAATTTTCCTTTAGCCCACAGTTGAAGAAGATATCATTTCAAATAAAATTAACACTGTGATAGAGCTACTAAATACAGTTCCTATTAACAAAGGGTCTTTCACACAGGCTGAATAGTTAGAAACATCATTGGTTGCAATGTCTCCATCTTTTGGAGGTTTGGGTAATTTTCTAATAGTGGAAAGCCATCACGCCCACGGTCCTCAAATGTTTCGGTCTCAGAACGCTTTTGCACTCTGAAAAATGGAGAACCCCCAAGAGCTTTTGTTTATGTGGCTTATATTTATTGACATTTACCATGGTAAAAATCAAAGCTGAGAAATTTCTATACCATATTGTAACATAATGCTTGTTTCTTTTTATGTTTAAGAAATCCTTTAAAAAAAATCCTTTTATTTTCCTAATCCCAGTCTCTTTGATAGATCATTTAGAATTTGCACTAGAAAAAGTTACTTTTATGTACAGGAATTTATTTTACAAACTTTTAAAAGGGATCTTGTTATTTGGTTGGAGCTAGAAAAGTCCGTGCTACTAGATTGTGGAATTGGAAGAATGCCCTATAAACAAAGCAGGGCCTAAAAATATTGACCTGATGATCAAAGAGCAGCTATCAGCAAAAAACCCAACACCCCACATACCCCAAGTCCACATGTTTTCCTTGAAATCTGAATTCTCTTATAAAACTATGATTTGAAAAAAAAACCCAAAACCCACTATGATTTGAACATACAAGAACAGAACATATACGTCTTATCAATACCGGGCAGGCACAAAGAAAAGGTGCTATTATGGTACCCAAAGAGTCATTTCAGTTCAAAAGAAGAAAAAGCATCCTGTTAATGAGGGTTGAAAACAACAAAGCAGGTTACAAGAAACAGTAATAGCAATGTCCAAGCTTCACACTGCACAAGTTTTTTTTTTTTAATATGAAATTTATTGTCAAATTGGTTTCCATATGACACCCAGCGCTCATCCCAACAGGTGCCCTCCTCAATACCCCTCACCCACCCTCCCCTCCCTCCCACCCCCCCATCAACCCTCAGTTTGTTCTCAGTTTTTAGGAGTCTCTTATGTTTCACAACAGTTTCTCAGAGTTCTCCTAATGGGGAGTCCTCCCTGGTGGGGAGTCCACCAGGCCCTGCCCTTTCTCTTCCTTACCATTTTAAACAGCTGTTAAATCTGTTTTTATAATAAACACCTACATGTATCTTTATGTACCTTGCAATTTCCAGGTTAATGAAAGCTTCTTTAAAAAGTCATGTTGGGGCGCCTGGGTGGCTCAGTCAGTCAGACTCTTGATTTCAGTTCAGGTCACAATCTCATGATCGTGAGATTGAGCCCCACATTGGTCTCTGGGCTGGGCATGGAGTCTGCATAAGATTCTCTCTCTCTTTGTCTCTCTCGCTCTCCCTCGGCCCCTCCCTTGCTAGTGTGTGCTGTCTCAAAAAAATTATATATACATTAAAAAAAGGTCATGTTATAAAACATGGAACCAAGAATACAACACCCATTTTCTCTCTCCCTTAATTTTAAACTTGGATACTGATCTCACATGATGGAGGAATAATTATTTTGTATATATTATGTGCATATGGAATAGATATTTTTCTTATAAACATTACTTTAAAAAATTAAACTGCTATGCTAAAAATGTCAGTATGTAAACTTTAGTTCACTGTTTTCAGCAAGAAATCGATCATTTTCTTACACAGATGAACATTTGACAATTTCTGAAAAAGATGACTGAAGATTATTTAGTAATCAGAATAATTAAATTAAAGATGCAAATATCTAACTGCTGGAAAGCTTGACCAATAGATAGCACCTGCTTACTCCCATCTCCAAATTAGGCTCTGCTTTTGTTACCTGATGTCCGAGAGCTGCAGCTGATTAGACAGGTCATCTTTTAGACGATCTAGTTCTTTTCTAAGTGGCAAACTGTTCTTCAACTTTCTAACTGCACTTTTCCCATTGTTATCTAACCAGGATCTGGAAAGAAAAAACAGACATACACACTTTGTAATACTGACTATAATGCAAGTATTTCTAGTACTAAAAGATATAAGCACTACTGTAAAGTAGCCCCAGTATTAAACTGAGTTTCCAACCAAGCCTTTACCAAATTATAAGCAAAACACCAGGTGGGGAAGAGTTGAGCACAGCCCACAGTAGCAGAGTGGACGGGGCATGTGGTAAGGTTGAAGGAAAGGAGGTGGCAGTGAGCCCCAGGGGAGTAAATAGACAGGTATTTTTGGAGACTCTGGGGTAAAAACAAAAACAAAAACTGGACTGGTAAGGTCTGGCCACTGTGGGCCTTGGATAGAGCTATGGGGGAGTAAACACTGAGAGCTCAGGGAATTAATGATGAAGATTAAACTAAGGAAGGAGTTGGAGTCTACCCAGCTAGAACCCACAAAGTGATCTTTGCAAGTTCCTTCAGCCACGGGCATTGCCTTCTCAATGTCACCAGCACCATTAGCTGTGCCTTCTGAGTCTGACTCTTTCACCTTATTAGTTTGCCCATCTGCTTTGGTTAGAAGTGTAGCTCTGCCCTGTCACATGGACATGGCTGAGTGACGGGCTAGTGCAGCCTACTGAAAGGCGTAGCACATGTGACTGATTCTGAAGTATCCTGACGTTTGAAATCTTTATCCCATCTCTAGAAATCTAGCAACAGGTTTAGCATAATTAAAATTTAATTTTTTTATATACAAAGGAAGTTATCGAAACTAGAGTAGGATTTAAGAGGTGCTGGCAGAAGAGACATTTTAAAATGATCAAAGTTGATAATCTTGAAACCAATAAAATCTTTCTGCATTTATCCAATGCCTGATACTGTGCTGTGCTGAGATATAAGGAAGATAAAGTCGCTGTGTAAAGGAAGACACACTTACTAAGGAATACAGAGATAAAAAATTAGGATAGATGAGCCTTTGTGAGAACAGAGGAAGAATGAATTCTGTCTGTAAGAGTCTGTGGAACAGGCGATATGTGACCTGGAACCTGAGAGACGTGTCAGATGTTTCCAGGCAGATTACTGTCGGGGGAAGGGCAAGCCAATCATGCTAGTGCGCTGGGAACCGTGAGGTGAATCAATGTGCCCAGATCATATAATGCCCCGAGGGAGGGAAGTATGAGATGAGACTAGGGAGGAAGGTGGGAGGTCTTACACATTGGGAGAAGGAATTGGGACTTTATCCTCTAAGTAAAGGTATTCAACTTTTAATTAATTTTTAATTCACTAACTCTGTATAGTAATTAATAACTCTTCCTACTCCCTTTTTACGAATATTGGTAAAAATTTTGTCATCGGTGCATAATGGGATAAATAAGAAAATAAATAAAAATATCTTATTTCACCTCACTATTATAAGCTATTGCATTATAAATTTTCAAGATTTTCCTCATTTATTAATATTATTCAACTTATTTTAAATCATATAAGAGAAAGCATGATTTGTTGACAAATGAATCATCAAAGAGCATGCCATATTTGGTTGGAGACAAAATGTCTTAAAATGTAGGCTGAAATATAATCTTATGACTATATGCTCATGACCTGACTTTTGGAATTCTTACATTTAGTGTATAAAAATCAGCTGGTCTAGTTTAACAGTTTTTGTGTTTTGTTTCTAAACACCGAGATAGAAATGAAGCTTCTAAACACAGTATTTACTACATACATGTAGATAAAGATACATGTTTCCTAGCCTCAGCCATGAGGGGTTTGGGAGCTACGGAGCACATCTATCCGCCCCAGACCTCAGATTCTACAAACCATTCCTTACTAAAAAGAATGAGAGCTTCCTGGCAAAATGGCTGAATCAAACATTGGGGCATGGACAGTCCAGATGAGCCTGGAACGACTTAATGAATCAGAAAGCAAAACTTCCCAAGGAACGATAGGGACATGGGAGCCAGCTTGAAGGGATGATGAAATTAGAAAATTGTTATATGGATGCTATCATTTAATATGTGATTTAGGCAAGAATCATCAATGAAGATTAGGGCTAAGGGGTAAGAATGCGGTGAGTAAAAGGATATCTAAATAGCTGTATCTCTTCAAAAGCAAGTAACCAAAAGGAAAACTTTACTATGGAAAAACAGAGGTAATCATCTTACTCATTTTTTTTTTCTTTAGTGCACTGGTTGGACCCTCTAAGACATGTAAGTTATAAAGGGGGACAGCAGTCTTGTTGCTGGCCAGCTTGTTTCTCCTCTCATCTGCTTTCTATTTTTCAAAAATTCCCCCAAACATGTCTCTTACTGACATTCCTTTGCTTTCTCTCACCAACCTCCATGAACTTTCATAAATTCCTAAGGATCTGCAGGCTACCAAAGAGAAATGCTTCTCTGGATAATGCATGAGTTATTAAGGGGAATGACAGGATAAAATTGAATATGTAGGTTAGGGGGAATACAGAATCTAGGATGCAGGGAAGAAAAAACAACAGCACCAGATCCTTTAGGAAGTTACAATCTAGGAGAAAGTAGCAACGCAGATTTCCATTAAATATTTTTGAATGATCTTTTTCTCCCCTAAGTAAGAACTATGAAAACAAACTGGAATAAGTCAAGAGCTACATTTACTTTAAAACTTGTCTGGACATACCCTCCCCCTAACTTCTGTCCTATGACTGGCCAGTGTACTTTTTCAGTATCTCTTTTTGAGAGATACAGTCTGTAGAATAATTTCTGTAAGTGTTTCATTTCCTCCATTACTTTATTACCTCATGAGGGAAAGATAAGTCATCCCTTACCTAATGTTGTTTTAAATTCAAACTTCAGATTTCAATTTCATCTCAGGAGATCACTAGACAACCTACATTTTCACTATGCAAATTAAACCATAAGGCAAAAAGAAAAGTGTATCTTCTTGTCCGATATGGAGACACATGGTTATCCTGACTGTCCATATTCTAGAACCAAGAGACAGAATTCTATGTTATTCTCTGGATGGATTTAAAAAGGACATTAAGGGCACCTGGTGGCTCAGTCAGTTAAATATCCGAGTCTTAATTTAGGCTCAGTACATAATCTCGTGGTTTGGGAGTTCAAGCCCTGCCTGCTCCCCCGCTGACAGTGCAACGCCCACCTGGGATATTTCTCTCTCTCTCTCTCCCCCCTTCCCCCCCTTTATCTGCCCCTCCCTTGCTCATGAGCTCGCTCTCAAAATAAAAAAAAAACATTTAAAAAATGTTAAAAAACCAAAAAGGACAATTAATGCCTGAATTTGCCATAAAAATAATTTAAATTCTTAATTTTACAATCATAGTCATTTGTAAAATTTGAACACTTGATTTTTAATGGGGAAAAGTCCATTCAAATTATTATTGAGATTAAAGAGCCATCTTATATTTATTCTATAATAAAATACAGTTAAACCATACTTTAAAAATTTTTTAAACATTTATTTTTGAGAGAGAGAGAGTGTGGGGGGGGGGGGGGGGGAGGGGTGGGGGACGCACAGAGAGAGAGGGAGACACAGAATCCAAAGAAGGCTCCAGGCTCTGAGCTGTCAGCACACAATCCACACGGGGTTGAACTCACAAACCCCGCTTGCCCACATCAGGCATGACAGGTAAACCCCAGGTGCCCCAAACCATACTTTTTTTTTTTTTTTAACTTGAAAAAACTTTTTTAAAATGTTTGTTTATTTTTGAGACAAAGAGCATGAGCAGGGAGCACAGAGAGAGAGGGAGACACAGAATCTGAAACAGGCTCCAGGCTCTGAGTTGTCAGCACAGAGCCTGATGCTGGGTTCGAACCCACGAACTGGGAGATCATGACCTGAGCTGAAGTCGGAAACTTAACTGACTGAGCCACCCAGGCGCCCCCACAAACCATACTTTTTAAACTTTACTAGTCAAGAACTTTAAGAAATGTTGAAATTTCTTATTATAAAAATTTATCAAAAATGAAATAATCCAAATAAATAGTATTCATGAATATATTTTTTAAAAAATAGTAATAGTTTTGTGTTTAAAACTTTATTGATGCACTAAAAACCATAAGATGCCTCGGAATACACCAAAGCAAAGAGGTGAAAGACCTATACTCAGAAAACTATAAAACACTGATGAAAGAAATTGAAGATGACAGAAAGAAATGGAAAAAAAACCATTCCATGCTTATGGATTCAAAGAACAAATATTGTTTAAATTTTTTTTTAATTTATTTTTGAGACGGAGAGAGACAGAGCGCAAGCGGGGGAGGGGCAGAGAGAGAGGGAGACACAAAATCCGAAGGAGGTTCGAGACGCGGGGCTCGAACTCACGGACCACGAGATCATAACCTGAGCCGAAGTCGGACGCTTAACCAACTGAGCCACCCAGGCGCCCTTTTTTTTAATTAAATTAAATTTTTTTTTTTGAAGAACAAATATTGTTAACATGTGTATATTACCCAAAGCAGTCTACACATTTAATACAATGCCCTATCACCGGGCATTTTTCACAGAGCTAGAACAAACAATCCTAAAATTTATATGGAATGACAAAAGACCCAAATAGCCAAAGCAATCTTGAAAAGGAAAAGCAAAACTGGAAGCATCACACTTTTGAACTTCAGGTTATATACGGAGCTGTAGTCATTGATACAATATGGTAGTGGCACAAAAACAGACAAATAGATCAGTGGAACAGAACAGAACAGAAAGCCCACAAGTGGACCCACAAATATATGGCCAGCTAATCTTTGACAAAGCAGGAAAGAATATCCAATGGATAAAAGGACAGTCTCTTCAACAAATGGTCCTGGGATAACTGGACAGTGACATGCAGAAGAATGAAACTGGGCCACTTTCCTACACCAGACACAAAAATAAATTCAAAATGGATTTAAGACCTAAGTGTGAAACAGGAAACCATTAAAATCCTAGAGGAGAACACAAGCAGTAACCTCTTTGACCTCGCCCATAGCAACTTCTTACTAGATATGTCTCCTGAGGCAAGGGAAACAAAAGCAAAAATGAACTATTGAGACCTCAT